GAGAGAAGTGAGAAGAGGGGGAGAAGAGAGAAGAGGAGAGGAGAAGAAAGAAGAGAAGGGAGAAGAGAAGAGGAGAAGAGAAAAGAGAAGAGAAGGAACAAAATGAACATAGGGTTGAGCAATTTACTTTTGTTTAGAATCTTGTGTTCTAATATCTGGTTGAAAAATGTTGCATGTAGCCTAAGATTCACACTATGTGCCCTTTGGTGATTGCACAACTACTCTTGATTCAATTTCCAAAGAAATCCCATTGAGAGGCAGTTGCTTCTGCTCACATATAAATTACGAGCAAAGCTTCCACCAAGCCATAAGATAAATACATCAGTTAAGATGACTTTTCTTGTCATTTTTTTTTACTGTGAGCACACATTAAGAATGAAATTCTGTTCCCTGCTCTTCAAGAGAAAGAGTATATCTACCCAAACACATACACAACACATATACATATGCTATATACATACATAAATATATACCTGCACCATGTATATATACTGTATATACACACACATATATTTTCATCCATCACTGTCCATTTTGAATATCTAGGGAAAATAGGAAACTTCCATGTTCCCAAGGTTGATGCTATCTGGAACAAAACTGGGACTGAATCTGGATGTTCTACTTCGGGGACCACAAAGCCCCCTCTCAGAAGGTAACAGAGAACAGGTTGTGAAGAGGATGTGTAGCAGTGGTGGGATTCAAATTGTTTTACCACCGGTTTGGTGGGCGTGGCTTGGTGGGCGTGGCTTGGTGGGAGTGCTTTGCCTAACTGGTGCGCAGCTTTCTCCACACCAGCTGAGACCTGCAGCACCTGTTCTGACCAAGGTTTCCGAGACCATAATGACGCACACGCTTATTTTAAAAACAAATCTTGTTTTTATTGCAACGCTGGGAATTATTTTCATTCCCAGCCGGTAATGAATCTCAAACAGTCCCTCGAGATAAGCATCCACCTTTCTTTCCTGTGAAGTGCTCCCAATAACAGAAATGTCAAATAAACTAGAACAACAAAAACCAACCGAAGTACGAAGAGCTTCAAGAATGAGTCTGAATCAAACAAACAACTTTGCTTCCTGCAAAGGTTTCATCACCTTTGCCTGTCCTTTATACCTTATGGGAGGGGCAATCACCTCCTAGCCTTTCTCCTGAGTCGTCCCTTTTGTTTCAGCTGCTCTCGCCTTCTAGCAGATCTGCGCACACGCACACTGGGAAGAGGCTCCCCTGGGTCCTCTGCCTCATTGCTGCCAGACTCCAGAGGCTCCAGAGTCAGCACCCCACTCCCAGATGGTCCTGGTCCCATCCCTGCATCAGACACAGGACCCTCATCCATGTCCTCTCCAGACTCCCGGATTGGTCCCTGTTGTTTCCCACTGTCCGATTCCGCTGATGTCTGCACAAGCTGCTGTCAAACCACAACATCATCAATCACCTGAGAGGATAAAGAAAAGAAAAGTGCAGGGGAGGGTGGCAGGGCCGATACTGCGCTTTTCTCTTCCCTTTCCTCTCAGCTGATCGGCTTATTTTACTACCAGTTCGGGTAAACCGGTCCAAACCGGCAGCCTATCACCACTGCATCCCAGAGAATCCTGCAGACCCTGCTCAAACATCGCTTATAGGCCACATCCTGGATACAAGAGAGCGAGCTGCCAATGATCTATTCTGCCGTCCTCACCACTCTCTGCACTGCCTTCCTGTCCGAGGCAGGAATACTTCCAAACGAGACAGTAATGCAATATGACAGGAGGCTCTCGATCATCCCTCTATAGAAAGTGGTTAGGACAAGGGAAGGAAGATGTACTTTTCTCATATGAGGTAGAAAATGCAGGAGTTGCTGTGTCTACTTCGCCAAGCTAGCCTACTCATTAGCTGCCCACATGATGCTGCTAACCATCTCCACAGGTGAATCATTAATATGTGGAGGTGCGTGGCTGTGCCTTCTTTTTCTGATTGACAATAATCTCTTTGAACTTATAACATCACTGAAAAAGGTGATTTAGAATAATTTTTCACACTTATGACCATTGCACTATCTTTGGGGTCACAAGATCAAAATTTGAATGCTAACTGTTGCCGCTGAAAAAACACACTTCAAAATCCATCTTAACAGCATACTAGTAGGAATGATAATTTTGTAGGGAATAAAACCTGAAAGTTAGTACAATGACTATAGTATGAGCCGTGGTGGCGCAGTGGTTAGAGTGCAGTACTGCAAGCTACTTCTACTGACTGCCGGCTGCCTGCAATTTGGCAGTTCGAATCTCACCAGGCTCAAGGTTGACTCAGCCTTCCATCCTCCTGAGGTGGGTAAAATGAGGACCCAGATTGTTGGGGGCAAGAGGCTGACTTTGTAAACTGTTTAGAGAGGGCTGTAAAGCACTGTGAAGTGGTATATAAGTCTAAGTGCTATGGCTATTTTTCAAAAATGTGGATGGTGAGCAAATTGAGACACTGCTAGAGGAAAAATCAAAGCCTGGCTCCCTTCCTCCCGCTGGTTTATTTTGGAGAGTCTGCAATGCTTTATATATGCTGGCATGCAATAATTCCATTCTCAAATTTTGAAGGATCTGACGGTCTTTTTTAAGAGGCAATCTTGTTCCTTAGACCAGCTGGTTGTAAAGGTGAAGCACCCTTCTAGAATGGGGAGATCTGTTCATTTGTGAATGGGAGCCTGGCTGTAAAATCAGTTTGAAATGGAAAGTGTGGTCCAGACTAAAGATCAGACTTCAAAAACAGCAATATTTTTGATGCTGAGGGAAATTCAATCGTCTTATCTCTCATGCCATATCTCACACAACAAGCCTATAGGTAAAGGTTCCTCTTGCACATAGTCATTTCCGGCTCTAGGGGGCAGTGCTCATCTCTGTTACAAAGCGAAGAGCCAGCGCTGTCCGAAGATGTCTCCATGGTCATGTGGCTGGCATGACTGATCGCCTAAGGCACAAGGAACGCTGTTCCCTCCCACCAAAGTGGTCCCTATTTTTCTACTTGCATGTTTTACGTGCTTTCAAACTGCTAGGTTGGCAGAAGCTGGGACTAGTAACGGGAGCTCACTCCATTACACAGCGCTAGGGATTCAAACTGTCGAACTGCCGACCTTTCTGATCGACAAACTCAGCGTCTTAGCCACTGAGCCACCGCATCCCTGAAATAAGCCCATAGTTGAGCTAATAGACAGCTTACATTAAGGGTCCCCAATCCCTGGATCCATGGATCGGCACTGATCCGCGGGATGCCAGAAACCGGGCCACACAAACAAGCAAAGCCCCATCTGCAGGAAGCAGGCAACACACAAAGCCATTCACCCCCCAGTCCATGGAAAAAACACTCTCCACGGAACCAGTCCCTGGTGCCCAAAAGTTTGGCGGCTGCTGCCTTATACCATGGTTAGGAAATAGAGTACATGATAGTTCAGTGGTTAAAGGCTCTGAGTTTGTCAACTAGAAAGCTGACAGCCCACATCGAGACCCAAGCGCTGTGCGACGGGATGAGTTGCCATTCTTGCTCCAGCTCCTGCCCACCTAACAGTTCGAAAGCAGGTGAGCAAATCTGAGTAGATAAAGAAGTACCACTTAGGTGGGAAGGTAACATTGTTCTGTGCACCTCAGCTTACCTTAGTGGTTTGTTTAGTGAATGGCGCTGAAAAAGTGACGTATGACCATCTTTCACACTTACGACCATGTTCTGACCCACACCCTTTTCCAACAAATCAAACACAATCCAAACAGAACAGAAACCTTGTAATGCTTTTACAAAATAATTAGCTGTGATAAGCACAAGCCTTGCCAAACTGTGCGAGACTTGCCAAAAGATAACAGACAAGAACTAATTTGCAAAATAAGAATCTTCAAATACCAACTCAGGATACTGGAATGTCCACGAGGCTGGAGTTTCAAAACGACTTTGCCTTCTGCAAAGTACATTCGTTTCACAGCTGGCCTTTATCTTCTTGAAGGACGGCCCATTACCTTGCAGCCTTACTCCTGAGTCACCTGTGCTGTTGTAGCTGCTCTTTCCTACACGCACTTGGCACAGGCTTCTCAGGAACCTCCTCATCACTGCTGCCAGCCCCCACAATCTCTGACGGCGGCAGTCCTAATGGTCCTGGCCCTTCATCTGAGTCCTCGCTCTCTTCAGCCATCCGCACCTGCCGCCAGCTGACCACAAGAGACCATTCCAGCATCCCTACAGACATAATTATCAAAATTTGGACGCTTGGCAACTGGCTCATATTTATTATGGTGGTCGCAGTGTCCTGGGGTTATGCGATCCCCTTTTGCGACCTTCTGACAAGCAAAGGGAGGGGAGGATGCCAGATTCACTCAACAACCATCACACTAACCCAACAACTGCAGGGATTTGCTTAACAAAGGTGGCAAGAAAGATCGCAAAATGGAGTGAAACTCGCTTAACAAATGACTCGGTTAGCCAACATAAATTTCGGCCTCAATTGTGATCATAAGTTGAGAACTACCTGTGCTGTAGTCCTGCTGGACACATGACCACGAAAGCATGATGTGAAGATTTAGGTAACCGTTGTGGTTCACCAGCAGCAGATGTGGGAAGCTGAGGTCTCGGAGAGCGAGGACTCAGATGAGGGGCTTGCGTGTGATGTATGGATGGTGCCAGGACCATCAGGGAATGGAGTGCTGCCTTCGGAGATTGTGGAGGCTGGCAGCAGTGATAAAGAGGTCCCTGAGGAGCCTGTGCCCAGTATGTGTGCATGCAGGGCTGCTCAAAGGAAAGAGCAGCTGCAGCAGCACGGGTGACTCGGGAGTAAGGCTGCAAGGTAATGATCCCTCCCTGAGAAGATAAAAGCCAGCCGAGAAACCACAGTTCTTTGCAGAAGGCAAAGAAGTTTGATACCCGAGCCTGGTGGATGTTAGAATATCTGAGTTGGTGTTTGGAGACTCTTTGATTCATTGTTTAGGAACTTTATCTGTTGTTCTTGGCAGGCTTGCAAAAACTTGGCAAGGCTCTTTCTTGTCGGAGCTAATTAGTTGGAAGCAGCCTTTTATCTGTGCAGAAACAGGATTCGTACATGAAACAGTAAAAGGTTGCGCAGTAAGAAGTTGTCTTGTGTTTACTCTCGTGGAACCAGGTTTGGGTGAGAACAGTAACTCTGTTGCTAAACTAATGTCTACTTTCAGTTGTGTTTCTGCTGAATTGGTTAATCATTCCCTTTGGGTTCTTGTATCAGTGGCTTTGCACATAGATCCCCGAAAGTCATATTCTGTAAACAATGAGGTGGCCAGTGAACTTTTAAGCTGGACTGCTTGCACAATACCAGAGACAATTCACGACATCTAAATATTAGGCAGTCAGGAGGGAGAGGTATTGACGTGATAGCAGTGTTCCAATACTTGAGGGGCTGCCACAAAGAAGAGGGAGTCAAGCTATTCTCCAAAGCACCTGAGGGCAGGATGAGAAGCAATGGGTGGAAACTAATCAAGGAGAGAAGCAACTTAGAACCAAGGAGAAATTTCCTGACAGTTAGAATAATTGATCAGTGGAACGACCTGCCTCCAGAAATTGTGAGTGCTCCAACACTGGAAGTTTTTAAGAAGAGATTGGACAACCATTTGTCTGAAGTGGTGTAGGGTTTCCTGCCTAAGCAGGGGGTTGGGCTAGATCACCTCCAAGGCCCCTTCCAACTCTTCTATTCTATTCTATTCTATTCTATTCTATTCTATTCTATTCTATTCTATTTTTTCTGTTTTCTACTCTACTCCACTCTACTGTCTCTTCTCTTCTCTTCTCTTCTCTTCTCTTCTCTTCTCTTCTCTTCTCTTCTCTTCTCTTCTACTCTCTTCTCTTCTTTCTCTTCTACTCTCTTCTCTTC